CCATCTTTAGTGAAAAATGATCAGGTGGGTTTTGTGTCTGGTGGCCAAGCTCCTGACGCTACCTGGAGAATGATTAACCTCATTCACCTGCCAGAAAAACACAAAAAAACAGGAAAAGCTTTCTCTGTTCCTTGCTTTGGAAGCTTTTGACAGGATTCACTGGGGTTACCTCTCTAAAGCACTCAATAAATTTGGCCTTAATGAGCAAATACATGGATGTTTGTATTCTACTCCCTCAGCTGACATATTTACAGAAGGTATATACTCCACAGCATTTCAAATAACGAATGGTACGCGCCAGGGATGCCCTCTGTCACCATTGATATTTGTATTGCTTATGGAACCTTTGGCAGAGAAAATCTGAACTCATCCACATTTACAAGGCATAACATATCAAGATAAACAACACAGTATTACGTTGTGTGCAGATGACGCAATACTGTCCCTAACCAACCCACTCCAATCACTCCCAATAGAATATGACATTTTAGACCAATTAAAATTTCTTACTATAAAGTAAATACTTCCAAATTAAATATTCTAGGTTTATCTGTGGATGCAGCCACAAAAACACACATTAGAGAAGAAGTTTCCCTTTCAGTGGTTCACCAACTCTCTGCAGTATCTAGGCATTAAGCCAACAGCCTCTATAGCAGATCTATATAAAACAAATTTCTCTTATAACTGAATTGCAACAGGTACTCTTCCGACTACAAAAACAAAATTCTACCTCTCATGGTCAGGAAGATTAGCTGTATATAAAATGTTGGTATTGCCACAAATATTATATTACTTCAGAATGATACCTATTCACATACCAGCTTCCTTTTTTTCCACCATGCAAACACTAATGTCTAGATTCATATGGGTGGACAAGAAAGAACGTTGTTTCTGTCATATTTTGATAAAAAAACGGAAAAAAAAAAAAAAAAACAGATCAGTATGGGGCATGGCCTTCCTAATCAAAAAGATTACTATACAGCATCCCCATTAGACCAAATCAGAAGTGTAGAAGAGGATGAAAGAAAGAGCGCACAAACCTTGCGCTTTACCTCAATAAATAATGACTAATTTTATTTAATTTAGGAAATATACTCACAAAGGTGACGGTAAAACAGGCAAAAGTAAACCATATCCACACAGGGTTACAGGTAAATCCAAAGGGAGCACCTTTCGAAACGTGTTATTTTTTTATCCCCCCCTTTGGAGGTAATGTGCAAGGTTTCTGCGCTCTCTTTCATCCTCTTCTACAGTTTTATCAAGCTTCCCCAGCTTCATGATAGAGCTGCACAACCTCTGATCACCAGCGGATGAACACGCTGTTGTTACTAATGCCCGTTTGATCTGAGTCTTTGAGCGCAGGAGATAATGGTACTTTAGAAAGTGACTGGGCCCAACCAGGAAACCTTAGCTCACTATTATTGATCAGGAGTGCCATGAAATCAATGCATGTTGTAGATCATCCAATAATCTCAGGAACCATACATACCTGGCTAGATCCAAGTAGCCACTATGTCACATCTATTAAATGTGAATTGATCCCTATTGCACTAACCTCATTGAAATATATAACTCCAGATATTTCCTTTGCGAAATGGAATCATATAGGACTCATTAATTTCAACGTTGTAGTTAAAGATAAAGGTCTACTCACATCTGAGGAACTTACTAAAGTTTATTCTTTGCCTGAAGAGGAGTTTTACATTCATGTTAGACTATCTCATTTAATGACACGTTTAAAAACATTACAGGTGATTGTTCCATCTACTGAATGGACGTACTGGCATGTGGAAAATCCCAAACTTAGAGGTATTACCTTATTCTATATGTTAAGTGCCAAATCTTCATTTGTTAAAAACCCTCAATTACATAAGTGGGAAGGGGAGCTGGATTGCTCTTTTTCTGATTCACAATGGAAGGGAACAATTCAGTGCAATTGCAAATATTCAAAATGCTCAAACTATTGGGAGATGGCACAGAAACTTCATTTAATGTGGTACTACACTCCTTACAGGCTCACAAAATTTTCCCCTCAAGTTACCAACACTTGTTGAAGAGGATGCAGAAACACAGGTATATTACTTCATATAATCTGGTCGTGCCTTCATCTCCACAGTTTTTGGGCAAATATTTTTGGGTTAATTTCTCAATTTACAGGATTCTTAGTAAAACCGAATGTTGAACAAGCAGTTCTCACTATTAATATCTCAGATAACCCTAAGTCTATTAAGCCAATTTCTATGCAGGTGATATATGCAGCCAGAACAGCTATTCTGAGGAAGTGGAAAACAAACAAAACAAACAAGGTTCCTAATGTAAGAGAGGTAATCAAACAGATTAGTTATATATATATATATATATATATATATATATATATACACACACACACACACACACACACACACACACACACACATATATATATACATACATACATATGAGCAAATAATGGCTTATAGAGATGGAAGAATTTCTCAGCTTGAATCCCAACGGCTACTATGGCCCTCGTTCAGTAACATTAAATGAGTCATAGCTTCAGACTATAATACCATTATGACAATTGTTACTCACCTTTTTTGTTATCCTTATCTTTTTGCTGTTAACTGAATACTTTTCATATATAAGATATAACAGTGACAACTTTCAGAGATTGTTCCTGTTATATCCAAGAAGACTTCAAGTTGACACATACAAGCTTCAGTTGGCGGGACAAAACATATTACATACGAGTAGATATAATGGGTTACTATGGTACTGATCTCAACTATATCACTATAGTACATGTTTTCATACCTGTGAATACAGTTGTTATTTTATATCTGTACGACTTCCTTTTATTGAGTAGAACTTTTCTCAACCAACCAATGTGATGACTATTTTTCCATTTTGGAATGAATAATAAAATAAAAATAATTTGTAAGGAAAATGTGACAAACTACTGTTCTACTAGATATGCCAGCATTTAAAGCACTTAAGTCCGGTATGTGCCTTCTTGTCCAACTCTTCCCACAAACCAGCAGTGCCTATGCATCACTAAATTGTGGACCATGGTCCGGATTGGGACAATGTCACTTAGAGCTATGTGTCTTGGAATGATGGGCTAGAAAACATCTCTAATTTTGCTCACACTTTTCCATATAAAACTATTTTGTTGCCACTCTAAACTCTAGCCACATTTTCTAATTTTAGAAGGGTAGGAACCTCTATCAGGTTGGTTTTTTGTTTTGTTTTTTTATTACTGCTGTCTGCTTCTTCCGGATGAAACCAGGTAAGATCAATTCACTTTGGGACCATGAATGCCAGCATCACTAATTTAGGAGTTCAGGGCCCCATGGTGCTCTATAAATAAACCAAACATGTATCCAGTCACTTAATGCGGTATTAAAACCCAAAACATAAAAATAATATATTGTAGCTTACAATTCTCAAATGTGGTGACTGCATTAGGTTTCTCTTTTATTCTTTTTTCCTTTATTTTTACCTGTTGATCCAGCCAGTAGCACACTTCCTGTCTTAAAGTGACTCTTAAGGCTTATTTTATTATTCTTCTAAAATAACAAACATGTTATACTTACCTGCTTTGTGCAGTGGTATTACAAACAGCGGCCTTGAGCTTCTTCTTCTTGGGTTCCCCACCAGCACTCTCCGCTCCTCCTCTTCTGTGTCTGCCACTGCAAGCCACTTGCTATGGTCACAGGTGCAGACTCAATCTTGTGCTGGGCTGTGTGTGACTGCAGCCGGGCACAAGGATTGATCCAAGAGTGAGGCAAGTGTTTAGGGGTTGAGGGGGACACAGCAAGTCCTAACACACTTTTTACCCTAATGAAGGGAATGCATTAAGGTAAAAAAAATTGGTGTCTCCACTCTGAATGGAGGGGCAACAGAGACCTTTGGACAATCAGATTTGGAAAAACTTGACTAAACAAATGTATTATTTATTTCAGGTACTTATATAGCGCCATCAATTTACACAGCGCTGTACACATATATTGTACATTCACACCAGTCCCTAACCCTCAAGGGGTGTACAATCTAAGGTCCCTAATTCACATTCATACATCTACTAGAACCAATTTACATATAGAGGAGCTAATTCACCTACCAGCATGTCTTTGGAGTGTGGGAGGAAACTGGAGTACCCAGAGGAAACCCACGCAGGCACAGGGAGAACATGCAAACTCCAGGCAGGTGGTGCTGTGGTTGGGATTAGAACCAACGACCCTAGTACTGCCAGGCGGAAGTGCAAACCATTTAGCCACTGTGCTGCCCATTAACACTGCTTTCCAGCTAACACTTTTTAGGCAGTTACAGCACCTTTTTTCCCCCTTTTAGGTTTTCCAAAAATTAAGAAAAGCTGACCATTGTAAGCCCCCTTTTCATTGTAAAGTATTTTGTCTCAACTCAGTGACACTTTTGATGGACAACTTGGTCTGTTAAAGGAAATTGAAAAAGTAACCAATTTACCTAATCAGATTAAAACAAAGGAAGAGAAACCAAAAGGAAAATGAATGCAACCACCACATCTAAAAATAGGTTTCAAGATAATACATTCTTGCTTTTGGGTTCAATACCACTTTAAATATACATGTTTTAAATACCTGTGGCTACTACACGTGTTAAAGCCCACAGGTTAGCTTTAAGCTAGCAAGTGACAAATTATAAATCTATTCTGTAAAACTGTGTAGCTTTACAAACGCAAAATGTTCAGTTCCCTATTGTAGACAGATTTTTTTAATATGAATAAAGCAGCCCCACAATCCCCATTCTACTCATTTCTTGTTCAGTTGTCACAGGGATACAAAGTAAAGGGATATCTCCCCACTGAAGCAACAGAGAGCAATAAAACCCCAGCAGATTTTCAAATTCTTCCACACTCTATTAAAAACTTGACTTGGCTGAAATTTGTCTCTCAATGCAGTTTAGTTTTTGAAACACAGGAAAATGTGAGCATAAATGAAAAGTAAACAAATATTGCTGTAACACTGAAGTTCCATGCTTACTTTTGCATGATCTTCCATCACTACCCAGGCTGAATCCTGATCGGCAGCGACACGTTCGGGTTTTATGGTTGCTGCCAAGCAGACAAATATCTGAGCATCCTCCGGGCTTCTTGTACTGATCCAGTTCACAGGCATGGCTCCTCACTGCAGAAACACAGAACAATCAATGACAAAACTATAAAAAGACTGGAGATGAAAATATTAGAAAATGATGTAATAGCACATAGCACAGTTGCTCACTTCCAGTGGATGTTTCCCAAAGTCACCTGTTTGACCAAGCCAAATGTTACTAAACATGTTAGGATCACAGCTACAAACAATGTAATCCTTACGCCCATGGGTACCTTAAAAGGCGCTTTGTCAATAAAATGCAAGTATAAAATGCGATATATGTAAACTATGAGTTTCACTAGGTGATGAGAAGTTGAATGACACACAGTCTTCTTGGATTTCTAAGGGACTTAGACAGCATTTCTCATTTAGTCTATGTATGGAGGATGTGGCATAAGGTGACCGGTTATATTACACAAGAATCAATACTGGTTACTGCAATAATAAGATGTAAGAAACTAAAGCCTACAAAAGACAACTATAGATGGATCAAATCTCAGCCAGTTTCTGCTGAACTGGCCAAGATCCGATCCATCTATGAGCAGGGGGTTGCACTGAAATGAACCATCGACTTTGATCACTGTGTTGTGGGGGAAAGAAAGACTCCCCGCCGGAAAAACACAAGGGATCCCCCCTTCAGCACTGATTTTGTTGATTGGAGAATCAAGCAATTTTCTTTCTCTCCACCTGTGGTGGGAGGAAAGAAAAATTGCATAAACTGTGGGCTACATAACACAGCAGGAAGACCTTGACAATATTGTAAGAAGCTAGTCCCTTTAAACTGCACAGGACAACAACCCGACATTTAATTTTACTGCCAAATTGAAAATACACAGGGCACTATACAATGTTTATAAGATCTAAAACTTATACAAAGAAATGTTTGATCCTTTGTCAGAGATGTATTCCTATTACAGAGAACTAAATCTCCCTGTTGTGAAAATGAAAAGATAAAAAGAACCCATGCATTATTAAAAGCAATTGACCTGTAACTCCTACATATACAGTACAAGACGCTTTTTAACATTCATACACATGTTTAAGTATCTTTTCATTTGAAAAATTTAAGTTTTTCTTCTACAAAGAAAAGCTTGAAAAAGAACTAGATAAGAAAGCAATGGAAAATGTGGGAACAGAGAATCTAAATGGCAGCAGTTTAAAGGGTGAAGGTGCCTAAATGCTAGTGTTTCAATTCATTTCTTCACTTGGTGGAATGTGGTGTGAACCTTAAGGTCTAAAACAAAAAACAATGCATAGGCCCATGAAAGGTCCCAAAACATAGCCAGAAATGCAACAGACTGTATAGGAAAACTTTACATTGAGCCCCCATATATCATAGTCACAGTCTAGGTAGAGAATATCCCTTCCAATGCATCTTAGGGAAATTATGTCATCATGTTTTTTCCTTTTTTCTACCTAGTACTTCTCCTTAGTTTCTCAGAAAACATTATTTCACAAAACTCTGTACCCCATAACCTCAATGTTCCTAATGTTTGAACTATTAGAATGTATGCATCCATTAGAAGAAACAATTGAAATGGTGCAAGTAATTAAGTATAAGCAGCAAAAAGGTATTTTCTCAACATCTAAGGTTGTATTATAATGGAGCATCTCTGCACAGTTACCTATCCTGGATTCCACTCCACTTTCATACAATCAATGTTGTCTAAAATGAAATACATGACTTTTGAAGATGGAAAATATCTCTGTTTAGCATTTTGAACACAGAGACCAGATGAGGCAGCTGTATGAAGCTGAACAGCAGAGGAAAGGAAGCACTAAGACTGGCCATAGATGATACGATTTTCTTCTATGCAACCACGAGCTGCAGTGTTGATGGGGGAATCCCTCCCATGGAGCTATTGTGTTCTCCAAGCTAGGGGTTGGGGGGAGTGCAAGGAGCTGTCCTTGTTGGGAGAACACAGTGATCACGGTTAGTGGCTAAAGTCGCTGGCAATAATTGCAGGTTAAAAATCCAACATGCTGGTTGTACCCAAATTGATCGATGGATCAACTTGGGTATAAATCATCCTGCCCATAACATGGATCGAATCTTGGTCGATCCCTGCTGAACCGGCCAAGATTTGAACCATCTATGGCTAGAAACAGACATTAATCACCCAAGATGCATCTAGATGGTAAGGAGCTGCCTAGACTGCTTATAACCAGAAGTGCTGGAAATATAGTATTTTTATACAAGATCTTCACAGAGCAAAGTTTTTCATGCATTTTTGGCTATGTAGTAAGCCAACCCAGAGATTGTGTATTGCTTACATCAAACATTACGTCCAGTTTTAACCTTATTCTAGCAACATACAGTATTCACATGTAATGTAAATAGAACCTAGACAAACTGGCAGTTCTCTGCAAAACTGCTGATGCAGTACATAGACACAAAGCACAATTTATATCTAGTGTGTAGTTCACAAAATATCAGTTTTAGTCGACTGCAGCTGTTTGATTATCCAAAGCCAAAAGAGGCACTAAATAACCAGTCCACAAAAGTCAAACAATGACAAAAGAAGCTGTCTGTCACAAAGGAACAAACAATCTTTATTGACTTTCATCTATATTACAGACTCTTAGCAATCCTGTAACTGGTTTGCTTACTAACTCCTCAACAAAAGCAATTTAATAGGTTACATAAATGGTAACACACAATATGCCATGTTAGATTTCATGGTGGTTGCTGTCCATCCATAAGCCACCCTGACATTGGTGAATCATGCTTGTTATTTTACAGACAGTAGTTAAATCCTTCTAAGGTAAGCACAAAGGAATACAGGAATCGTGTGAATCTAGCTCATACTGCCTCATACTGCTGCATGCACATGACTTTTCTGCATAACGGTCAATTCTCCCATTGTTTGCAATTAAATATATAAAACAGATATGCTGTTAAAGTGTATGTTACCCTAAATATTTTTTCTGTTTTAAAATATATGTGTTTATAAATCATAGTCTCTATCACTTTCATTTACTTCTTCCATCTAAAGCACCTGATTGATCCTACCAGTCACCTTTCTTCTTTGTTCTAAACTGACCACACAAATCAGAGAAGCTGATCTGTGTTAGCATGGTCAGTTTTCATCCTTTGGCTGGCCATCCAAAGGTACTGTGCAGACACACAGCAAGCCTGAATTTGGTAGTTTTTTCAGCCACCGCACCATGACCAATCACAGCCTGCCTCTGGCACACAGTCCCTACCAATCACAGCCTACTTTCTGAAAACGCCCCCTGGTCAAGCACAGCCTGCATCTTACCTCAAGCTGAACAGACTATGGAATACAGGTACACTGTGTGTCTGCACAGTGTCCTGTAACCCTGCCCCTACCATCAGAGAGAATAGATGCATGGTCACATGACAGAACTTTTTAACCTTGCAAAAAAGGTAAGAGATATAATTTTTAAAACTAAGGTTAAATTTTTTTTTAAAAAACTAAAGTTTTAAACTTTCAAAACCACAGTTATGGTTCCTGCATAGTTATAACTGTAGTAGCAAGTGTCTATAGCATTGTATGTTCACAACTACTTTAATAGCGTCTGCGGAAAAGGCACATTTTTCATCCATTTATATAGACCAATATCGTCAGCAGGGGCCAAAAAATTATTATAATAAACAGCAATTACATAAATACATTGCATTTTCTTTAAAAGCTGCACTCCCAAAGCATACAAGAGCAAGTCCAGGTGATAAGAAAAACCATTCAGGCATTATTGGAATCTGTTATATGAATGGAAAATCAACATGCCATATTTAATTTTTTTTTACAATTTTTTTTCATTGACGTGCAAAAACATTTTGTTTATGCATATGATGATTTAGGCAAAAACAGAGACCTTGTACCATGCAATTGCTTTAAGTACTTCAAAGCACTTCTCCAGGCATCAGCTGCCCCCCTACTTCACCCTGAGCATCCAAATTGTTTTTTGTTTTTTTTTTACACACCCTGTCTCATATTGTGTAGTTTCTCTTCATAGCCCCTTCAATTTCATCACAGGAGCTCAAACAATCCTTGTATTGGTGGAACCAGGAGGATAGATCCCAACACACAGGAGATATGCAGCAAAATTTCAGCTTTGACAAAGTTACAAAAAGAAGGGTACTGAGTGAGAAGTGCTTATATAAACTGCACCAGCTGACGCTCTTACACTCTGCCTACTGCAAGCAGCACTGGTATGATGCTGTCAGAACCTTTCAAGAATGGCAGAGGGAACGTTGAGAAGACTGGTCACCATGTTTACAGAAAGCAGGCAGTGGTGGCTGGTTTCTACCACAGGAAATGTGAAATTTAAATAATTTATTCTAACTTTTTGTGCCCAGAATTCAACTTTAAAGCTAAATTTCTGACCTCAACCATTATTACTATTTTTTTAATAAATCATATATTATCTATCCATTTATAGATCTATATTCTCTTTTTTGTCCTGATGTCTTTGGTCTGCTTTTGTGACACACAAAAGTCCTCACTCTACTCTTCTGTCCTCTTGCAATGGGTGGTCTTGCTGCAGGACTCAAATTTATGGCATGAGGTCTCTTATCTGCAGCATTCTCCCTGGGCTCACAGGAAGTGAGCTGAATAATCTTGGCACAATAAACCCAGAAGAAATCAGTGGTGCAGGACAGAGGATGATGCAGTGCCAGCGCTGGGGCTTGCCAGCTTTTACATTTTATAAATTGTGGCAGTGCAAGGCCATGCCACTGTGTGATTAGGCAGTTTACGCCAGATTTTGCAAGAGGGAAGCACACGAATGGCACAGCTGTTGTGTGGGCTCTCTCTAGTTTCTGGAACTCTAGATCAGAATATTCAATCCTGCGTCCGGGTTTTGCTAGACACCTGCAATCTGAAGTACACAGCTGTGAGGTGTTGTTATTTACTCAGGTCTGAGAATAGCTCAGGGCTCCCAATTGGAGACCACTTGCAAAGGGAGAGACGGATGGTCTCATTGAAGTGTCAAAGGACCCAGGCAGAAGCCAAAGGACAGAGGTCTCAGTTCCAGGAGTCAGGACGGCTCCTATCAGGGTATCAGATGAACCCCTATTCATAGGCCAGAGGTAGGCCTTACAGCAAGGCGCTGTGTCTAAAGGCTAGGGAGCAAAGTAGCCAAGTATCCAGGAGAGGTACAGCAAGTGAAACTGAGTGAGCTTATGAGCCAGGTGGCTCAGCATTTTCCAATGTATGAACTTCTGTTGGAAGATGGAGAAAATCTCCTGCTGGGAAAATCATTCCTTTGTGAACTTTTGCCTTCTTTTAAATCAAAGTGGGCTACCAAGCCCTTAAAAATAGTTCCTGTCTGCCGTGGAATCACTAAAACAATGCCTTTATCATGAGAACTAACAACCCCATGTCACAATATAATATATATATATATATATATATATATACACACACACACACAGTGGGGATCGAAAGTTTGGGCACCCCAGCTAAAAATTTGTATTAATGTGCATAAAGAAGCCAAGGAAAGATGGAAAAATCTCCAAAAGGCATCAAATTACAGATTAGACATTCTTATAATATGTCAACAAAAGTTAGATTTTATTTCCATCATTTACACTTTCAAAATAACAGAAAACAAAAAGATGGCGTCTGCAAAAGTTTGGGCACCCTGCAGAACTTATAGCATGCACTGCCCCTTTGCAAAGCTGAGACCTGCCAGTGTCATGGATTGTTCTCAATCATCGTCTGGGAAGACCAGGTTATGTCAATCTCAAAGGTTTTAAATGCCCAGACTCATCTGACCTTGCCCCAACAATCAGCACCATGGGTTCTTCTAAGCAGTTGTCTAGAAAACTGAAAATAGTCGACGCTCACAAAGCTTGAGAAGGCTTAAAGAAGATAGCAAAGCGTTTTCAGATGTCAATATCCTCTGTTCGGAATGTAATTAAGAAATGGCAGTCAGCAGGAACAGTGGAAGTTAAAGCAAGATCTGGAAGACCAAGAAAAATATCAGACAGAACAGCTCGCAGGATTGTGAGAAAAACAATTCAAAACCCACGTTTGACTGCACGATCCTTCCAGAAAGATCTGGCAGACACTGGAGTTGTGGTACACTATTCCACTATAAAGAGATACTTGTACAAATATGGTCTTCATGGAAGAGTCATCAGAAGAAAACCTCTTCTACGTCCTCACCACAAAAATCATCGTTTGAACTTTGCAAATGAACATATAGACAAGCCTGATGCATTTTGGAAACAAGTTCTGTGGACCGATGAGGTTAAAATTGAACTTTTTGGCCAGAATGAGCAAAGGTACGTTTGGAGAAGAAGGGGCACAGAATTTAATGAAAAGAACCTCTGTTCAACTGTTAAGCATGGGGTTGGATCAATCATGCTCTGGGGTTGTGTTGCAGCCAGTGGCCCAGGGAACATCTCACGAGTAGAAGGAAAAATGGATTCAATAAAATTTCAGCAATTTTTGGATGGTAACTTGATGCCATCTGTGAAAAAGCTGAAGTTAAAGAGAGGATGGCTTCTACAAATGGATAATGATCCTAAACACACCTCGAAATCCATGGGGGATTACATCAAGAGGCGTAACCTGAAGATTTTGACATGGCCTTCACAATCTCCTGACCTTAACATAATTGAAAATCTATGGATAGACCTTAAAAGAGCAGTGCGTGACAGACAGCCCAGAAATCTCAAAGAACTGGAAGACTTTTGTAAGGAAGAATGGGCAAAGATACCTCAAAAAAGAATTGAAAGACTCTTGGCTGGCTACAAAAAGCGTTTACAAGCTGTGATACTTGCCAAAGGGGGCAGTACAAGATATTAACTCTGCAGAGTGCCCAAACTTTTGCAGACGCCATTTTTTTGTTTTCTGTTATTTTGAAAGTGTAAATGATGGAAATAAAATCTAACTTTTGTTGAAATATTATAAGAATGTCTAATCTGTAATTTGATGCCTTTTGGAGATTTTTCCATCTTTCCTTGGCTTCTTTATGCACATTAATACAAATTTTTAGCTGGGGTGCCCAAACTTTCGATCCCCACTATATATATATATATATATATATATATATATATATATATATATATACATACATATACACACACATACACATAGGAGGGAAGTGGGGGCCGCATTTCAAAAAGATAAAAAAGTTTTAAAGTGATACTTCTTTGCTAATCAAATTTAACAGTACCTATGCATAGAGGTCATTGTTAGCCCTTTATTGCTCCCTTTCTCATGTTGCAACTCTCTAGCCATTCCAGAGTAGTGCAATTTTGTAAAAATTAATTTTACCCTTAAAGTATCCATGATGCCTGTGAACAGAAAGTTTGCACAGATACAATAACATAATACCTCCTTTCCTGATTGGCTGGATCTATTTTCTTTTTCTATTGGCAGACCTCAATATGACGCAGTCCATCAGCTCAATGAAGTTCACTTCAGAACTGCCTGTGCCAGCATAAGCTGGAAGAGGAGGTCACAAGCTGATGTGAGGTCAGTAGTGTGAGGCATACTCAGGATGGGGAAGTTAAGTGGAGAAAACTGGGTCAATGCTGTTTAATAGGCTAATTATCAGGTACACTGGAAATATATATTCAACAACTATATAGCTCATAGAACCACGAATCAGGCCTTTTACAAGTCTTACCAGTTGGCTGCCTGCGTTGATGGTAAATGTGTAAGGCTCCACCTTTGTCAACCCTGGTCACCACTTGATGCTCTGAACTGTTGAAGCGATTAACACGAATCACACTGGTTTTCTGCTGGGCGTTGGCATGATCAGTATTTGTAGCATATAAATAATTCTCAAAAACTGTAAGGCCATACAAATGTTCAATCTAGGAATAAGAAAAGGAAAGAAAATGAACGTCCTTAAAATTAAATAATAATAATATAATACCACTTTATCTGCACTTACTAGGACTCCGTTATCAATGTTTGAAACAATAACGCTTTGAAATGCCTTAGAGCAACCAATAACATTTAGGGCACACATTAGGCCATTGGAGTAACACACGTTACAAGTGCCGGCGTGCTGCAATGTCACTATGCATCTTCACAACACACATACCTTGCAGTGCACTGCCAAAACTATGCATGTTAGTGAGTTAAATGCACCACAACATGCTGCCATTGAGAGGACCCTTAATTGGTCATTCTTTAGTAGATATACAGGTGAACCTTGGTTTACAAACGCCTCGGTTAACAATTTTCGGTTTACAAATGAAAATCCATTGAAAATAATGCCTCAGTTTACAAATTTCGCAATACGATGTGTATGTTGGTGCCGATTTTTAAGTGCAATTGCCAGATCTTTTTTTCTTCACTATAGCTCACAGAATTAGCGGTTACTTTCCCCAGAGCTAAAGGATATTTTGTTTATTTTAACTCCGGGAAATAAACTAAAAGAAAACTTTCTTTCTTTTAGCTGGGGGGGAAAATGACAGTTGATTCTCTGAGCTATAGTGAAGAAAAAAAAAAAGCAGGTAATTACATTTAAAAACTGACACTGACATATAGTGACAGCGACTTTTTCTTTACTCTTTTCTGACCTCCGGAATGGATTAATTGGTTTTCAATGCATTCCTTTGGGAAACCGTGTTTCGGTTTACAAATTTTTCGCAATACGAAACGTCCCGGAGAACGCATTCGGTACACCTGTATATTCCAGTGCAGCACTGAGCCAGATTAATTCTTGAGACAACCCAAAACAATGGTATTTTATGGTAAAGAAGGTCCTGCATAAAATAAATAAATTATTATGCAGTGTGCGCGATATGAGCATGGACGTGCAGCATCACTACCCTCAGTGGTGAGGTCACAGCTTGATCATTAGCATTAATTAATGGGTCATTCCACTCAAAACCAATATTCAGTTTTCACTAGAAGATGAAGAGTTAAAAAAATGCAGTGACATATATCGTGGGGTTTTAGTCCTCCTAGGTTCCACCTATAACTATGTAACTTTGAGTGGACTGAATATGTTCTTAGATACACAATGCAATGTTTATCATTAGGTTACACTAGTTTATTTATTACAGGTACTTATATAGCGAAGTCAATTTACGCAGCGCTTTACATGTGTGTATGTATGTATATATATAGATATATATATATATATATATATATATATATATATATATATATATATTTATACATATTCATACTAGGGCCAATTTAGACAGGAACCAATTAACCTACCGGCATATCTTTGGAGTGTGGAAGGAAATGGGAGTAACCGTAGGAAACCCACGCAGGCAAAGGGAGCACATGCAAACTCCAGGCAGGTGGTGCCGTGGTTGGGATACGAACCAACGATCCTAGTACTGCCAGGTTGAAGTGCTAACCATTTAGCCACTGTATTGCCTCATTAGTTACAGATAATATAGAAAAAAGCAAAAACAAATTGTTGTAGTTCACTCTGGAAGCAGTATAAGAAAAGCTGAGTTCAGTAATAACAGGTTTAAAAAAAGGCAGCGAGGAGTATTAAACCATAGCAACCAAATCAACTTTCCGCAGCACAGAGTAGGCAAATTAATGAAAATTGATTTCTGAATGGTTGTTATGGGCTACTGCACACCAATTAATTTTGCTTGGTGAAATTAAAGAGCTGTACCCATTAGGAACAATTTTCTGCTGAAATTAATAGAATGAATCATACTTTAAAACCGTTAAATAATCAAAGACGCTCATGTACAAGTACATAGTTACTTACTAGCAACCCCTGGATGATGGTGTGTCTGTTCTTGCCTTCATAGTCTACCACTTCAATGTAGTCCAGGTAAGCGTCTGCCCAGTAAACCAAACGATTCACGAGATCCAAGGTGATCCCATGTGGGAATACAATTTTGCTGTCTACTAGCTTGGTCCTGTCCTGGCCGTCCATATCGCATCTTTCAACTTTTGGGATTTGCCCATAATCCGTGAAGAAAACTTTCCTGTAAAGAGGGGTTTTAAGGTTTCTTAAAAATTGTAAAGCTGGTTACAGATACTAAACAATTGTGTTAACCAATATCAATAGCATGAGGCATACAAAAAAGGGCAACAAAATTAATTGTGTGCACACTGAAAATTGATTTAGACCACTGGTTCTAAAACCAATGATACTAGGAAAAGAAACCAGCACCCGGGAGAGATCTACAAGTGCACTCTCCCACCATCCCATCTGCTCAGCTCCAAGTTTCCAGATGAAGGCCAATAAAAGGATGCCCCCCCCCACCAATTATTGTTTATGGTTTGACCCCCATCCTGCTCATCCCCAAGTTGTTCCAGATGACGGGCATACAAGGATGCTCCCCGACCAGGGGCGGACTGACAAATCATCGGGTCCTGGGCATTAGGGGATCATGCGGCCCTGTGTCCTAGCCCACACTCAAACCACACCCAGAACAGCCTATGAAAGGTACCAGGGTCATCTCATTGGGCATACAAAAAAGGGGGGGTTTGTGAAAAGAGATTCACAGAAAAGCGGCTACATAGTGAACAGAACGTGACACACAGGAAAAAATTTCCAAAAATTATGCTTTATTACACATATAAAAATAATATGACATATGGGCTTTCGCCCTGGTTTACCATCACCTCAGTTGAGACAATACACACAGACCTAAAAGCTTTTCTGTGAATCTCTTTTCACAAACCCCCCCTTTTTTGTATGCCTCTTTTGGCTACTGAATGGAGACCATACATTGGGTGACACGCTAATTTATTCAATAACCTCTTAAATAACTATCTTAATATATCATCTCATTGGGCCCCTACTGACCCCGGGCCCTTGGGCAGTGCCCGAGTGCCAGAATGGTCAGTCCGCGACTGTCGCCCACCCCCCTCATTAATGTTTAAGGTCTGACCAAGGAACAAGCAGGTACATGGGAGTGGATTGGTGCTTGGGCCCCCAAAAATGTTCAGCTTTCAAAAAGTCACAACTTTAAAGTGACAACACTTAACTCACATTTTTTTTTTATCAATCAATCTAAAATATCAATTATACCACTGCTCCGATTACATTTTTTCCCCTAGACATTTTTGTCTTGTGCAGAGATTTACATTTAATTCTATTTTTTTTTTTTTTCAAAAAATCATTAAATTACATTTAGCCCTGGTTAACACTGATGCAATTTCAGATGTGAATCGTATCGCACTGAATCGCATGACAAGGGAAAAAACATTGGTTCCTACGGAGCCTGCTCACATCAATGCAGCACAACTGTGATCTGACTTTGGGAAAGGGTCCTGTACTTCTTTGGTGCAATGCAGTGCGATTCTGTGGTCCACAGACTTCCATGGAAACACTTTCAAGTTACTTATCTGTCCTATGATTCCAGCAGGTTTTCTTTACCAGCACAGAAATTGCAGCCATACCAGAATCACACTGCAACTGCACTTGAAAATCAGATGAAAACCGCAATGCATCAGTGTGAACCTTGCCTTAGAAACGTAAGCAAATATTACATAACGTTGCAAAAAAGTCACATTTTAAATCATTAAAATGTAGAGGTCCAAGTCAGAAAGTACTAAAGAAAGTGCGGATTGGTACAGCAAGGCATTTTCAACAATGCTAATCCTTGAGATTCTCTCCAAACAACATGACTTTAAAAAAGCTGAGAAACCCTGGTTAACCACAAGATATCACTACCAGTTTGCACTCTTTATACCTTGTTAATTATTGATGAGCATGGAAAATGTCTTTGAGGAATCTTTATCATGCAGAAGACAAGGCATCATTTTTCTCAGCCGCTATTAATTACATGCACATTAGCGTAATTGCAATTCATCACAGAATCACTAACTCATTTTAAGTGAATAGTAATACATGATTTTAATAAAGGAGAAAACACCATGTCACACTGGTGACTGCACACCACACACAGACACAGCTGAAAGTCTAATACGCAGAGTACACCAGCTATAGAGGCAAGCAATGCTTTTTAGCAGCCACTTTTAGACACTGTGAGGCATCATTTATACTTGTGGCTGGAGAACGGTAAAAATACTTGATTGAGCTGCTTTTTTAGCACCCCAACTGCTCCCCCTGCCGGCTGTAAAGGCAGCGGAAGGGAGTGTTCACATAATGTGCCTGTGGTGATTTGCATTGTGGCTCAGCAAAAATTATATCCGCTAACATACTCGGTTGGAAGTGCTGCCCACTGAATATGGCCCATACAAATGATTGGGGCCACAATGCTACTTTAGTGCTGTGGGATTGTAGGGGTTAAAACAAGCTGTAAGGAGGCAACATAATGCCACCTCACTGTCTGTCAAACACCACAAGGGTAAACAAGCCCTAAGACTGTGTGCACCACATGCACACAGCCATAACATTGTGTGCACTACTTCCTACATCATCATATATGCAGGAAGTTAGCTGAGACACATGAATGTAAACATTACATGTAGGACCCCGCTGTAGCTTCTAATGGGGACAGGGTTAGCTTCTACTTAGGCTGGCCATAGCAATGAATCCTCCCCGCTGTGCTATTGTATTTTGACAATGGGACTCCTCATTGTTAGGATACACTGATCAGCGCTGCAGCCACTGATCATGCCAGGAACAGCCAATGGTACTTGGTGAACAGGCCAAATTGTGATCTATCTATGGCCAGCTTTAGACTCCTTTCACAGGGATGTTCCATTTGTCCACTTTTCATCCATACGTTGATGAATGAAAAACAGTCCTCAGTGCATCTCTATGGAAAAACGGATGTAAATGGATGATCATCCATTTACATCTGTCTACACCTGTATCCGTCAACTTCCTTTTTTTGGAACGGATCAAAGCCCTATTTTTGTTCTGTTAAAAAAAAAATGTAACGAATGAAAAATGAATGTAAACGGACAAATGGTCTTTTTGCATCGGTTTTTGCACTGGTAGTGGATGGAAAAACCAATGGAAAACTGATATGTTTTTTCTTTGAAAAAACGTGACTGAACTGATGGAAAAAATGGAATGCCAGAGTGAAAGGACCCTATGTTCCCCACTTTCTGTCTAGTTGGAAGGCAAGTATGAAAGGGGTGTGGAGTTCAGAAAGTCAGAGTGTGGAGCTGAGAAGTGAGGATTAATCAGTAAGATAGCCATGTGGACTTTAGACCTTGTGGAAATCTTGGGGCCCGATTCTTCTAGACATGTAGATTACCTATAATGGGCTTCTTCTCTGGGGAAATGCCACCTACGTCTGGCCTACTGGGTAGCCAGAAAGCTGTAGAACTCTATTAGACAAAGCCCAGGATTATGATCACTGCTGGGAAAAAGACAGTTGTTCTGCTGGTGGCATTCACAAGTCTCTTGTCTACATTATGCAACAGGAAAACCCGTGAACCTGTTGTATTTGGGCCAGATGGTTGGTGCAGCCAGGAGCTTACATCCCTTCGGCAGAAGCAGGCAACCCTAGAGAGAGATTTCTTGAAAGCTCAAAGGTGGAGCATGGTGGGTCCACAGGAGTGAAGGATTATTACCCGTATAACCTGTCCGGGGGGTGTGCTGAGGACCCTTCTCACTTTTCTTTCTGGAGCACCACTGAACTTTTTATTTGGAGTCATGCACCTGTGTGAACTATTGGATTTTTGTTACAAACACATTAATTTGAACATGTGGTGGTGAAGTTTTAAACCATATTTTTTCCTTATGTCCCTATTGAATTAGCCTACATGGTTCATTTATATTGTCACTCTTTGTATTGGTGTTTTTAGCGCTGCTTTGTTTAAAATATTGTTTTCATTTTTTACACATATAATGAGTTTAGGGTAGTTGCTGAAAAAATTGTTTCAAATATATTTAGATTTTTTTTTTAGTTCTGGGTAAAGTGCTGCCTATTTTTCACTTTCAAAATAACAAATGTTGAGAGTGACGTTCCACTTTAAGTTATACATATACATTAAAATTAGCACGAAAAGAACTATACCCAAACAATACACATGCTCAGTATCTGGCTTGTCTTATGACCTTAGGAATGCAGTCATATTAACCAGACCACCATTTCCTCATCAGTATAATTATACATTAAATAATGTACAATACACTACCCAATCCTAGCTTAGCCGGGCTTACTAGTTCAAATACATTTTAAATTACAAGCATATTTAACTTTAATAAAAACACAAATCCCGAGATTTAATGAAGAGTTAGCAGATCTAACTAATTGCTGAAAGCATAAATAAAACCATTCTCCATCTGTGACTAAAGTGTATGACTGAAATCAATGAATATAAAAGAGGCTGTAATAATTGGTAAGGAGGCTGGAAAAAAAGGTCACAAACAATGCTCAGTCAAGTGAGAAATTTATCAGTGTGTGATGTGCAAGGCTGGTCTATCCCATCAGCAGTCAATTGGAGATGGCACTGTAATCCATTATTATTACTGGCCTTGACGTAGTCTTCCCCAGTCACTGAATGTCAGAGAGAAATACATCAAGGACGTCAGTGTAGTTATATTTATATGGTGAATAAAATATAACTGTATTTATAATTATGACAGAACCTCCTAAAAAAGTATCATAACTGTACGTGAAATAAAAATAAATCAAATTCAAACTCTCATATATGATTTAGATTGCCAATATCAATATGTCCACCCCTTAGATTTTGCTAACCCACCCTGTAATATCATGCAAATCCTTCCAGAAGGACCAGTAAACAGCCACTTCCTTATTAAAGTGACAATGTTCTGCTTATCTCAAAATCACAGAATCGTCACTTCTTTGTCTGCTAAAGGTACTTAGATGGTACCTTGGGATGTAAGGAGGTGTGGCTAATTGTGTTCTCTCTGCTGTTATTCTCTCACGGTATTATCTGTACTTGGACAGCCACACTTATCTTTCCCACAAAAACCCTGCTAGAAGCTTGTTGCCCTACACTTCTACCGAGATATGGAGATTTTGCAGAACTTTGTACTTCTTAGGTACTACAAAAGTAAATTACTATATTTTTCACTTGTAACAGGGTA